TTTTATTTTATTTTATTTTATTTTATTTTATTTTATTTTATTTTATTTTATTTTATTTTATTTTATTTTATTTTATTTTATTTTTTACTATTCTAGGTTTTTAGAAAACTTTGTAGCTTTGCTATCAGATATGTGGGCGACAAGCTGTTCCCCAAGTCAGATTTGGCCACTAGTCAGTAATCCAGTTAAAAGAACAAAATTAAAAGTGGAAAACAATAAGAAAGAGATATATTCTGCACAGCTACATTGGGAAGAGGGACAAAAATCCAGCAAATTCCTCAAGTTCATTTTCAGGGTCCAGAGGTGAGATAAATGTTTAATAGAGGGCCAGGAGGTGCCCATCTGAATGGACATGGTCAAGGTGAGCTCCTACCCACCCATCACTCACCAGGGTCTGGCCTTCAGTCTTTGTGGCGATTTGACATGTTGTTAGAGCTGTGTGAAATCTCTTTCTGGGCGTCAGATTCCCTCTCTGACTGGTGCTGTTTCATCCTCAGCATGATACTCCTGAGGAAATTCCCATTTTCTTGTGCTCCATTATTTCAGTAGTCTGGTAGTCAGATTGAGAGACAAGTGTTTCTTTACAGTATCTTCATTTCTGCCAGGTTAGTATTATCATAAGTAGAGAAAAAGGTGTTCTTTCTGTGACCATATCATAATGTTGCTACCAGTACCCTCTCAATGGTCAACTTTCTGTCATTGTTCCAGAATCGAGACTCCCCTATTATTAAATAAACGTCACTACATCACCAAGAGTGATTCAAGGTCAGTGATTCATGAGTATTCTTCTGGGTACCTGGCCTTTACTGTTTTAGATAGTTAGACAGTAAGTACTAAGTGATGCATTTTATAATTAGCTATATAGCCATGTTATTAATGCTTCTCCTATCTGTGTTTTCTCTTCTTGCTGTTACAGACCAATTCACAGGGTGACACAGTGCGAAGCTTGTGTCTTAGTTACTTGACTGTGCTTCAGAAAGCAGCTAACCATGCTGCCCTGCTGCAGGTGGCCAGCACTTCCAAACAGCAGGTCGGCCATGACTTTGCATTTCTCGCTGCTAGTGTTGGTATATAATTGTACAGTGTTCCTGACCCAAAAATCATAGCTTTTACCTTCAAGAGAGTAAGAGAACCCCAAAGTCCACATTTTAACATGGAAGTAGTTTTATATATTTTATAGTTTACTGAAGAAAGTCAGAAACCAAGGCAGGTTTTAAAATATTGGTGGATACATCAGATAGATGGATACAAGAGGGGAAGCTTTTCTGTAGGTCCAGGATGCTATCTGGTGACATTCTTAGCTTTTGGGTTGGTAGAAACTAGTGTTCTATAGTCACAGGATGTTAGTTCTGACACAGAGGTGGGCATGGAATGGCTGTTGGGGCTGTGGGGCTGAAATTCCACCCAAGATAAGATAATTAAGTTCTGAACCTGTAACGTTCCAATCTCTACATAGTATTTCAGCTCTAATCAGTCAGTCTCAGCAGACAGAGCTTCTTTCCAGGAAGTCTCTTTTATCTTAGCTAACTACTCTTTAGTGTGTTTTAGGTGACATTGAAGAGGAATCTCACTGGCTTATTTTAAAATTTAGTAGTTGTAAAGATGCAAGGTACTAAGTACAAATTTCAGCATCAATGCTGATACATTTTTAAGTAAAACTTATGTATTAAGAAACGTGCACTTAAAATTTTAATCAGGCTAAAAAAGCTTGAGCTTAAAGCAATAGTAGTTTTATGTATCTAATAGTATTTATGTATTGTTCTTATATATTTTTGGTATAATTACTTAGATAGCTGATAGATCAGTTCCATTCTGCTATATTTAACTAATCTGTTTCCCAAACTGTCAAAAATTCACTCCTCGGCAAGTTGAGTCTTAAATAGAAGCATTTGCTGGTAACTGCAAATCTTGCTCTAGAGCACATCAGTAAGAAGGTTTTGCTTTCATTTAAGAATGTTTTATTGTGCTTTAGGTGGTAAATTTAAACTGATTTTGAAGTCTATTCAGAATTTGGGTACAGTAGTCTTTGGTAGTATTATTTATTGTTTGGGAAATGTTTGTTTCCTTGCTTTGGAAATCTTGAAAAAGTAATGATTTAGTCACATATCCATACTGTCAGGAATTGATCAAAACCATACATGTTTAACATATAGGTTTAGGATTTTCTGAATTGTTAATCTCACTTAGAGAAGGCATATTATATTTCTGTTCCTCATAAATATAATTTTTATTATATTTTATAAAGTTTTATTTTTTGCAGGTTTAAATATGTATTGAAATTTTTTTCTTCCTTCTCTCAAGGAAACACTTATCAAGAGGATATGTGATCAGGTGTTTTCCAAATTCCCAGATTTTGTGCAGAAAAGCAAAGATGCAGCCTTTGAAACACTTTCTGACCCTAAATATAGTGGGAAAATGAAGGTATGTGCTCTTCATTTAGTTTGCATATGGACAAAAATGCCTTACGGAAGATTTGATCCATGCAGTGGTACTGCAAGCACACCAGCTAATCAAGACAGGCACCCAAACACTGAGAAAAGATGGAGACTGTGCCCTCTGCATACAGATGAGTGCACACTTTGGATTCTGGGTGGCACTTGCATCAAATAATACTTCAGATTTTTCCTTACTGCTCTGTTGGCCTTGAGAACACTTAAAATGTATGCTCTTATCACATATATACAGACTGAATCTTCTGCCCCCAATCTTTGTTTGCTGACTTAAATAGTAAAATTGTAAGGGGACACTTCTTCTACACAGGGAAAGTGACCTGTGGCCATGTTATTCATGGTACTGCATTGCTAAAGGAGGGGTCTGGAAAGCCCAAGTTCTGTAGCCCTGACCTAGGTCTCTGGACATTACCTGTCATAGTAGAGTTAGCTGCTGACAGCCTCTGGCCTTGTGCAAGAAGACAAGTTTGTTTAACCTTCCATAACTATCAAGAGCCCTCATTTATGGGTTCACAGATGTGTATAGGACAATTCCTAGCCTTATACAATAATTAAGAAAAAAGTAAGATGTTTATTTCTTTTGGCAAAGGGAATAAAAAGGAAGTAATTCAAAGTAGTCAATTAGTGTTTAACCTAGAAATGCTTTTAACAGTTAATATAGATAAGTTTAATGTGGTTCAGTTGCTTGAAACCTAGAAATTCAGTGAAACAAAATAGGTGGAAGAAGTAAAGAAGATTGTATTAAAAATTATTTGTAATGGATTGGAGAGATGGCTCAGTGGTTAAGAACACTTGCCTGCTCTTCCAGAGGTCCTGAGTTCACTTCCCAGAAACTACATGATGGCTTATAATCATCTGTAATGGGATCTGCTTCCTTCTTCTGATGTGCATGAAGACAGAGCACTCATGTACATAAACTACATGAATAAATAAACCTTAAAAATATTTGTAAAAGTAAATTAGTTTGTATTCATGAGACTATCATGATTTATTCCAAGTAATTAAAATATAATAATCTATTTATCTATTTCATTTATTTTAAAAATTTTAAGATATAAAATCCAGATTCATTTAGTTTTATTTTTAAAGATTATGATGTATTGTTAAGATAATGATTAGATTTCATTTTGATTTTAATTTTGGTTGTTGGAAGCTGGGAAGGCATCTTGGTTTGTATGGAGAGCAGTTGTTTTCCAACTTCTGACTGATTACCAAACAGATCTTGACAGTAATAGCTGGAGATTTGTACTCAAGGACTATTTGTTTTTCACATCATTTAATTAGTGTCATTACCTGTGGTATGTACTGGTTTAGTGATGTTCAGCCGATAGGCTTATCATAGAAGTATTGCCTATGGGGTTAAGATCTTCAGGTCATTGAGGTGTGTGTCCTTTGTGGATTCAGACATGTAAAGATACGGTTTTGCTTATCTTCTCGCTCAGCCTGCAGCTGCAGAGGCTCCGGACACACAATGCCTGTTTTAGCTGCCATAGCCTTAGAGCTACAGCAGCCTGACTTTATAGCAACTGCACACTTACCTCACTTACCTGTCGATGGAGCAATCACAAGTTGCACCCATTTAGCTGAGAATTCTTTCCAGTCCCTTGGGTTATATACCACAGATCCATTTACAGAGAGAATAAGAAAGACCAAGGAACCCAGTTCAGTGCTGTGGGACCGAAAGGTACCACGTTCATCCTTCTAGGCCTGTCTGACTAAATTGAGAAAATCATATCCCCCAATTAATTTTTTTTTGCTGTGAATACTCTCAAATTTATAGGTAGATTGTCCTTTTCTATGGAGGACAAGTCAGAATCTGTATTATTAAAGCTTTAATATATATTGATGGTATTTTTAGTTTTGAATTTTTGATAAGAGCCCTTAAATTTATGGTTTTCACTAAGTGAGTTTTTTTCTCTAATGAACACCTGCAGTCAGAGAAAAAAAATTATTTTATTTCTATTTTTGCTTTCACTTTTAAATATCTCATATTACAACAGGTCTGAAGCCATGACCAGTGATATGAGTAGATTTCTGTTGAGCAAATTCTTGGCATCTTCCAAGGGTGAAATGAATGAAAAGACAATCCTCAGACCAGAATATTTTTGCAAAACAATGAAGGATTGGTATCCAAAATATACAGAGAACTCTTAAAACTCGGAAGTAAAAAATGGATAATTTAGCTTAAAAAGGGCAAAAGATCTGAACAGATAACTTACTACAAAAAGAAATGCAGATGGCAAATAGTGCAAGGGAAGATGCTGTCCACTGTTATTAACTGCAAAATCAAGTGAGGGGTACCATTGTATGCCTCCTAAGGTGGCAAAGTCCTGACGGCTGGCAACACATGGCTGAGCCTCTTTCATCACAGGTGATACTGCAGTGAGTGGTCACTCTGGAGAAAAGTGTGGTGGCTTGTGGCAAAGCTTTCACGTCATAATGTCAAATCCGTATCATTTAAAATGTGTTTGATATTTGAAATAGGAAAATGAAACATTCTTACCGTTTATTCACTAGTCACATTCTTTGTTATTTATCTAAGAGATAAACTTAGTGAATTTTACTAAGTGTAAACTTTTGCCCACAAAGGAGCCCCACATAAATTTATTCATAATTTTCAAAGCTTGGAAGCTGTCAAGACTTCCTTGAAAAGGTGAATGGATAAACTGTGGTGTGGTCATAAAATGGAATAGTTTTCTAACAATAAAAATCCAGTGAGACATAGTAGTGCATGCTTTTAATTCCTTCACTCTGGAGGCAGAGGCAAAGGCAGAGGTGGATCTTGTTAAGTTCAGACAGCATGGTCTACATAGCAAGTTCCAAGCCAGCCAGAGCTACAGTGAGACCTCCTCTCAAAAAGTAAAAATAAAAAAGAATTGAACTCTTGGAGGACTCTCAAATGTACATTGCTAAATTTAAAAAGGCGGGCTGGGAAAGACTATATTTTTGTGTAACTCCATCTGTGTGAGCCTCTAGAAGAGGAAAAACTACAGAGATAGCAAAAATACAGGGCTTCTGGGGAAGACAGGTATGTAGGTGAAACACTAGGGACTTCTAAGCAGTAACACTATCTTATATGATGTTGTAATGTGAAAACATGTCATAATACATTCATCAGGATTCAGAACTGTAAGTGAAAGAACTCTAATGCAAGAGGGACTTCTCTTAATAATGGGTTGGTATACTTGATCAGTTGCACAGATACCTCATGATTAATAATGATAATCATATTTTTAATATCATTAGCTTTATGTAGACATTAATAGGAGGTAATATGGGGATATATATTTCAGAGGTAGTGTTGGCCTGACATGCACAAGGCTATGGATTAATTCCCAGTAGTGCAAAAAGAGAGATGAGGGGCAGTATGTGAGAGCTTTTTACACTTATATTCATTTCCAAAAACCTAAAAAAGTGACTATCTTTCAATTAAAATATTAGTGTATATAAAATTAAAATGCATGTTCTCCATAAAACTAGTTATTTCATTTACAAATAAACTAAATGCAAATAAAAGTTTATATGTTGTCCATATATTAACCTATTTTCCAGCAAGGTACAGTGACGCACACCTGTAATCCCAGCACTCAGGGAGGCAGAGGAAGGCAGTTCTCTGTGAGTTTGAGCCAGCCTGGTCTATAGAGTGAATCCAGGATAGCCAAGGCTACACAGAAAAATCCTGTCTCGAAGAAACAAAAACAACAACAAAAACTTTCTCAGGCTGTAATGTTTCTACTCACTGAATAGATTTAGAAACGTAGCCTCTGTAGCATGCTTGTTCAAGGATTGAGGATAAGACTCACATTTCAGAATTCCTTACTAGATCAACTCTTAAGAAATTGTTAGACTCAGTATATTTTTTCGTTTGATGTCTATCAAATAAATAACATTGTTTCTTTCATAGTTTAGTAAAACTTAGTACAGAAAATTCCTCTTTCGTTCTGTGGATTTTGTTCTGAATACCTTTTCATGGTGTTCTCCCTTCCCAGGTATGGGAATGTCTCCTTAGAAACAGTAGGTTCTGCTGTGCACAGTTTTTGGACTCTTGCTTTCTCTCTAAAGGACTCAGCATGAGGGCAGATTATGAGCACTTTGAGTTCAAAATCAAATCTGGAAGTCAGGGCTAACTGTAACTAAACAAAGGGGGGAAAGTGAGAAGAGGTATGTATCCAAGAGATAAACATCATGTCTTTCAGAGCCTACCTAGAAGCAACTGACAGCATTGCATCTTGTCTGTCAAGAAAGACATTTATTTTTAAAGGTTTTGTTTTGCTAATTTCGTCTTAACATACTGTTGGTATAAAATTGTATTCTGGAAATTAAATTAATCCATCATCTAAAATACTTCTTTTTAGTAAAACCAGATGAGATGAAACACGCTGTGGGAGCTTTACCTCCTACTGACAACAGGATGATAAATAGCATTTGATGTGGTAAATACTGTGCTTGTTAATTTGGAATATATAGTAGGAAGGAGCAGAGATGACTGAGGTTACTGTTGTGGAGAGCCCTTTTCAGGAACTCTCCAGCGCTGTCTGTGTGTGCAAAGTGTGCTTATAGTTGGCATTGATGCAGTGATGCCCTGTGTTCCTTCCCAGGTCCTGCAGCAGCTTTTGAGTCATTTTAGGAAACACAGGGATAAGGTTCTTCTCTTCTCCTTTTCCACCAAGGTGAGTTCCATCCAGAATGTCCTCACTTCATCAGCCTGGGTCCGAAGGCAGTAAGCACAAGGAAGTAGCAGGTTACTGTCCCGTTCTCTCATCCACATGACATGTCGTGGTGAGGGAAGCAAGGCAGACCTTCCCAGCGCATCAGTCATCTGTGGAAATTAGATAGGGATGCCATCATCGTATGAAACAAAAAGGTAAAGTTGTATTTTCTGCCGACGTTCTTTTGAGATATTTGGGATATTTTAGAAAATATAAATAAGTATCTAAAATATCATCAAATAACGTTTCATTCATAGTTCAGTAAAACTTGGTACAGAAAATTCTTCTCCCTGTTTAGAAAATGACATAAAAATTGTTTAAATTATTTCACCAATGATTTTCGTTTCTTTCTTCTTTCTTTCTTCCTTTCTTTCTTTCTTTCTTTCTTTCTTTCCTTCCTTCCTTCCTTCCTTCCTTCCTTCCTTCCTTCCTCCTTCTTTCTTTCTTTCTTTCTTTCTTTCTTTCTTTCTTTCTTTCTTTCTTTCTCTGTCTCTCTTTCTCTCTTTTTCTTTCTCTCTTTCTCTTTCTCTTTCTTTCTTTCTCTCTTTCTTTTTTGCCTGTTTCAGAATAATGGGAAGAAATGCATGTGTTAAAAGTGAGGGAAAATTTATTTTTGGCACCAGAAATAGAACCTGGGCCTGGCATACATTAGGGAATCACTCTCCCACAGTTACACCCAGGACCCCTGTATCTATTGCTTATTAATTAGAAGAATTGTGAGCCCATGATGAGTGCTCACTAAGCGTAGCCTCAGTGATGGGCAAGGTTGTGACTAAAGTGTTGTGCTTGGTCTGCCTTCCCTGCAGCTGCTTGATGTGCTGCAGCAGTTCTGCATGGCTTCTGGCCTTGACTACCGGAGACTGGATGGAAGCACACGATCAGAGGAGAGACTCAGGATTGTGAAAGAGTTCAACAGTACACAGGATGTGAACATTTGTCTCGTCTCCACCATGTAAGAACACAAAACTTGTTAGCCTGATTTCTCCCTGGTTGTTTTTTAAACTTCTTTGGGATTTTCAATGAACAGGCTTATGCTGCTTTGTTTTATTTGATTTTAAGAAGCAGCTAACACTGTCAGTCATAACTGGAATGCAGTATCTTGAATTTTACCCAATCTTTTATTTATCATTCTGGAATTCCCTTGTAAAAGATAAGAATGAAACCTTATCTTTGTTGACTCCTAGGAATTCTAGGATAGCGTCAATGCCTTACCTTCAGAACAGGTGAATTTCTTATTCAGAGCTCTCACTACTGCCTTCTCTGCCTTGTCCAACTGGAGCTGCTCCTGAGATTTTATAAGGAATAAATTTGTGCTAGCACCTATGTAATGGATATTTTATTAGAACAGTTTAAAGAAAATGCACTCCTTTGGAAGAGTTCGTTCAGTAGAAACAGCTAAAGAAGATATTTAGGGCATAATAAATACTTTATTTTTGGCATTGTATATGAGGGTTTTATAGATTTGTTCTCACTGTTTTCAAAAAGAGAACCAGAGAACTTTAGAAATAAACTGTGAAACGCAAACGTGGAACGCAGACTGAGTGCTGAGCTGAGGATGACGCTGCCGTGGCGTGACTGTGGCGTGGGAGTTCTACTGAAGTATATCCTTCAGTGAAGTTCTGTGACGTAAGCGTTCTTAACTTCAGATACATGCAAACATTAAACTGAGGCCCCAGCCCTACAAAGACCATCACGGCCACCACAGATCCAACTTGCTGTAAACAACTAACAGCTCTGGTCTCACTGTATCTGTGAAAAAGTACTATGTACCCAATACATTGCATTCCTAATGTCAAAGAAAAACTTTCATTTTTAGAAATCCTGTTATATCTTTGCAAACCTACCTTACCATTTTAATTGCGTGTTTTTTTTCTATAATTTCTAGTCTTTTAATTCTCTAATGATTTTAATCATGTTTTTAAAAATCTTGAAGGTATGTATGTATGTATTATTGTTAGGGAAGGCTTATGCCGTGGTACATATGTGGAGGTAAAAGAACACCTTTTTAGAGTCATTCCTTTCCTTTTATGTGAGATTAGGGCGGTGGTTCTCAGCCTTCCAATGCTTTAATACAGTTCTTCATGTTGTGGTGACTCCTAACCATAAAATTATTTTTTGTTGCTACTTCTTAATTGTAATTTTGATACTGTTATGAATTACAATGTAAATATTTGTGTTTTTCAATGATTGTAGGTGACACCTGTCAAATGATCGTTTGATCCCTCAAACGGGTCACGACCTGCAGATTGAGAATGGCTAGATGAGGGTAGCAAACTCAGGTTCTGAGGCTCATGTGGCAAGTGCCTTTCCCTGCTGAGCCATCTTGCTGGTCCTTTTTTAAAAGACTGGGTCTCACTCTGAGGCCTTGGGTGCCCTGACATGGACGCGGTTGGTCTTGAACCTGCTTCTGCCTCCCACAAGCTAGGATTAAAGACGTGTACCACCATACCCAGCCTCTAAAATCTTTTTTATTAGTGGCATTTTACTGTATTCAGTCTTGTACTTGGGGGTGGTTCTCTCATCAGGTTGTTTCCTCAGGCTTGCGCTTCTGGCACATGGTTTCTTTACACATTTTATAGTTTTTCATTTTGGATTCATTTTGTTTTTCTGGTGGAAATATTTGGAGAACAGTTGTTCTCCACTTGTGTAGTTACCCTGTGCGTTTTGTTTACTACTTTTTTTAAAAGCTTTATTTATTTATTTATTTATTTATTCATTCATTCATTCATTCATTCATTCATTCATTCATTTATTTATTTATTATATATACGGTGTTCTGTTTGCCTGTCTGCATGTACACCTTCACGCCAGAAGAGGGCACCAGATTTCATTATAGATGGTTGTGAGCCACCATGTGATTGCTGGGAATTGAACTCAGGACCTCTAGAAGAGCAACAAATGCTCTTAACATCTGAGCCATCTGTCCAGCTCCTTGTCTTGAGCAAGGCAAAGGAAAGTGTTCTGTGTGTCTGAATTCAAGAAGTCATTCTTGGTATAAGCCATTATGGTAAGAACCATACCCATCATTCAAGTCCTGCAGTTCTCACTAGATTAGTACCCATAAGGTTAGCTCTAAAATTTTGAGATCAAACTCTTGCATTGTGATTTTTTTGAACATTGTTTAATGTTGGATTAAGTAGAATCAAGCTAAATTCTGTTTGTTGCCTTTCACCCAGTTCAAGGGATATAGTCAAACTTCACTCAAACAGTGCTCTGTTTTAGTACTTGGTCCATTCTTTTATGTCTGCACAGCTGTATTTTAGTCATGACCCTTTTGTCCCATTTTTTCTCTATCAATTTTTCTCCTTTGCATTTTCTCTTCTGTTGAGTCATCTGTATTCTCCAGATTCTTTGCTAGCAGCTTTTGGCTTCATCATTTCTAACTAAGCTAATTATTTTCTAGGCCTGGCAACACTGTCATTTTAAGGCTTCTTTACTACTTTATTGAATTGGCTCCTTTAACTATCCCATGTCATCTTCATTCTTAGTTTACTCCATTGTTGTCTTGGAAAGTTTTCTCAAGTAACTTTGTCTGCCAAGATATAAGGAAAGTAACTTTCTATACCATTGAATACAGAAAATTTCATATATTTACATTATTTGCCTTCTCTTTTGAATTTGTGCTTTGGCCAACTCTAGAAATCTAGATTCAAAATAATTTCCTTTAGGGCCTTTGAAGGTCTTATAGCTCTGTTGTTTCGTATTTAGTGTCATTAAATACTAAATACTAAATATTTAATATTTAAATATTAAATACTCTGATTCTTGGTCCCCTTTGGGGACTCAGAAGAGTTTTTCTTCCTCTGTAATATGCTGAAATTCAACAGCAGCGTTTGAGACTTCTCTTAGGTGTTGGTTCTTTGTTGTATCACAGCCTGAAAGCGTGTCCTCTCCATTTTGAGGAAATGCTTTTCTGTTATTTCTTTTTTTATTCCTTTTCTCCCACTTTCCTTGTGGTTGCTTTGGGATATGACCCAGACAATTCTCTCTTGGTTTTTGTTTTGTTTTGTTTAAATAGGGAGTGATTCCCCTTTTCTTCTACTTGCTTTGGTTGCTGTTTTGTTTTAGACTAGTGGTTCTCACCCTTCCTAATGTTGTGATTTGTGTTGAGCCTCAACCCTAAAGTTTTTTCATTGTGATTTTTATAACTGTAATTTTGCTGTTATGAATTGTACTGTAAATGTCTGATATGCAGGGTTGAGAACCACTGTTCTAGACAATGCATGCATTGCTAGCTGTCCTTCAGCTCACTCTTTTCTTGTTCCGGTTCTGCAGTAACACTTCATGTAGTAATTCTTTAAATCAGATATTTCACATTTTGTATTCCTTGTTTTGTGGCCGTTGAGAATCTTATTTTCCAATCTTGTAGATTATTTTATTTGAATCAACCATAATTTTAATATAAAATTTTTTTGCTTTCTAATCTCATTTTTCTCTGAATTATCCTTTTTTTAGAATATTAGCACTTTAACTCTTAGATTTCCATAAATGCTCTTGAAATTTGTTTAAAGAATTCATCTACTATTTTTCTTGGATTTTTTTTTTTTTTTTTTGAGAATTTTAGTTAGTACTGTATTTACTTCATCCCTTCCATCTGGGATTAGGTTTTTTGGTTTGTTTGTGTGTTTGTTTGTTTGTTTTTTAAATTAAAATTGTTGAGATTATAAGTGGCTTTAAGGGATGTTGGCATTCTTATAATATTGCCCTTTCTACCTATTAGTTTTCTTGGAAGCACTGTTAAGTGTATACTTAATTTGACCTTTTGTAATGCTTACTACATAATAGTATCATGCAATATTTAAAGTTATTTTTGCTTAATATTAAATATAATTAAAATTGATGTATTTACTTGACATAAAAATAGAATGTGGAAGACATTCTTAGACATGAACAGCCTACATGGCCATGATGAGAAGTCTGTCTCAAAAACTAGTCCTTAGCCTAAAATAAACAATCATATTACATTGCTTAAAGAATAAATCCTTGTTATTAGTCATGTAATAGCAAAGTGATACACTTACAAGTAGAGTTTAAATTGTATTACATCAGAGAATCATCTCCTCATCAGAGATCTAGATTAAAGATTTTCTTTTTTTTCTAAAAGCCTTTGTCTCTGTTTTAACCAGACAGGTGTCATTTGTACTTTCAGCCTCTTAGAAGATTGCTCCCCTAACTAGCAGGGGAGAGCTCACTGAGAGTATCTAAGGTGAATCCATGTCTGGTTTCTCAATCAAGAGCCTACCTGGAGCAGTTAAAAAGGCTTATTAGACAGATGTTCCTGTAACTTCTACTTGCTGGGTCATCTGAATCTCTCCCATGTTTATTCTAACTTTTCCATAATGGGATTTTATTGTTGTATTATTTTCTACAACTCTTTCCCTATCCCACCTTTACCCCTTAGGTTTCAAGTCTCTCTGAAAAAAAAAATTTTTTTCTGTCAGCTCTGGAAAATAATTCTAAAAAGAGAGAACTGTCCCTTTTGAGCACTTAAATTTAACAGGATGCTTTAGTTTGAATACAGACTCAGCCTACTTAAGGAAACCTACCTAAAAAAGTTTAGTTCTTAATCTAATCTTGAGGAAATCAGGCCTAGTGATTCACACCCTTAATCCCAGCAATTGGGAGGCAGAGGCATGCAGATCAATGTGAATTTAAGGCCAGCCTGGTCAACAAAGTGAGTTTCAGGACAGCTAAGATCCCATGTCAGGGGGGAAAAACCGAATGCATTTATCTAGCATTAAATCTAGGATTAAAAGTATGCAAATATCTAGCATGACTCCTGTGTAGAGGACACATAGTCATGAATTTTTTTCCATATTATACATGTTATGAGGAAGAACATTGTTACCAATTTTTTGTCTTTGGATGATTAGTATCAATGTGCAAATGGTCTGAGTGGAGGAGGATGTTGCTGACACAGTGGGAAACTGGTGAGCAGAGGCTTAATAGACAAGCTTAGGAAACAGTGGAGGAAAACAAAGAAAACCTTTGTTCTTTAGGCTACAGCTTTGCTGTTCCTTTTTATTTAATATCACACATCAAAATTAACCAGACCCAAAGTCTATAAAACTTAGCAAACTGCTGTGGAGTTAGAATAGGCATTCAGAACAGAAGCTGTGGAGCTTCACATTTAATTTTACACTTCATTACTGAACATATATTATGCACTTATCTACCATTAAAACCCAAATATCCATGATAGGATTAGAACTAGAATAATTCTCTTTTACATCATCTCTCACTCATCCTTTCTCATCCCCTCATCTTTAGCCTTTCTTGTTCTCTTTCCTTCATGTTATACCCACATGTACATTTGATTACATATGTTATTGGCTATATTTCATGTATAAGAGAAGGAACACATGGGATTTTTTCCTTTCTGAGATTGTGTAATCTTCCTTAGTAGTATAAGTCCATTTTCATGTAAATTTCTAAACTTCACTTTTATTTAGAGCTAAATAGTATTCCTTTTATGTATATATGTACATATGTATGTATGTATATACTATTATTCCTTTTAAAATGTATACAGTTTTATCACTATTGTAAATTAGCTAGGAACACATCACAACATGGAAAGGACATAACCACTGTTACACAAGATCTACTGATGCGTACACATCAGTCCTGCATTGAATTCTAAATTTATGAACCAAGATCCTACTGGGACCAATGGATTAGCTTTATTGGACAAATATTTCTGTAACTTCTATTTGTTGCAGAAGAACTAAAATTATTTTTAATTGTATTTGAAAATTTTATAGAAATGGTATTTGAATATATAAAAATTAAAAAAAAAAGGATGGATAAAATGAAAAAAAAGAAAACTGTGTTTCTCTGTAATTTGATATTCCTCTGTTGAGAATTCTATATTTAGCTCTGTACCTGATTTTTTAAACTAAACAAACAAGGGGGATCTAGGAAATATGCTTAATTCTCATTCAGAAAGAAAAACAGGATAGACACTGGAAGCAGAAAAAGAGAGGAAACAGGACTGGAGCCTACTACAGATGTTCTCTAAAAGACTCCAACCAGCAGGGGATGGAGGCAGCTGCAGAGACTCACAGCCAAACTTTGGAGAGAGTGTAGAGAGTCTTATGGAAGAAAAGGGACATAAAAAGACCTGGATGGGACAGAAGGACTTACCAATCAGTGGACTGGGGAAGAGAGATGGGGATGGAGAAGGATGGAGGGCTGGACCATTAGGAGATGAGGGAGGGGGTTCCAACTGGGATACAAAATGAATAAATTGTAAATAAGAAGAAGAAAAAGAAGAAGAAACAATAAAAAAAAATAACTTGACATCCAAAAAAAAAAAAAATTAGCATATCAACTCATCTATATGGATTCAAATGGTCAGTTTGTTTAGGACTTTCCTCGAATGGTAGAAAAAAATATGTCATAGATATACAAGCTAATTTTAGTTAGAATCACCTACTTTTATATAAAAGATGGCAACATAGTGTTATATTGACTGCAGAAAACAGGCATGGCTCAGCATGAGCAAGTGGTTTGTTCTATCCTGGATGGTGGGTGATTTGTTTGAGCAGGGTCTTACCAGTTTAGGTTACCTAAACTGGCCTGAAACCTTGACTCCTGCTTCTGCCTCCTGAGTGCTGAGATTACAGTATATACTACCATCCCTCTCAACAGTTTATGCTGTTTTCATGTATGATTTCTCCCCCTCCCCCCCAGGGCTGGTGGACTAGGTCTCAATTTTGTTGGTGCCAATGTTGTTATATTATTTGATCCAACTTGGAATCCAGCCAATGATCTTCAAGCCATTGACAGGTATGATAATGACAAAATGTAAATGACCTATGAATTCTTGTAATCTAAAACCACTCTTGAGCTTTATCGATTGTTCATGGGGCTAGTTAGAAAAGGTGGGTAGCTGGTGAAAATTTGTATTGAAAATTACCCTAAACTTCAAAGGCTTATTTGTTTTCTATCTCCAGATTCTACTAATGTGACATAAGACCATAATACCAAATAAAAGGACAGTTTATTACTAGTAATTCAGACATTTTGAGAAACTCCTAAGAGTCACCAAAGAAAAGCCACAGTCAGAGTCTGCAGAACAGAATAGAAACTGCCAGCATGCCTTAACAACTTGTAGGGTGTGGGATAGTGTTACTCTGGGAAAGTAATAGAGTAATGTGAGATGATGCAGATTCCGCTCTGCACCTCATACTTACACAAGGTTTGTCTAGAATCAGTTCCTTAAAGAACCAGTTCATGAGTTAAGTAGGAAACTAAGATTAGAAAAGTTCCTGGTATATTGAATCAGATCACAAAGTGAAGCCAGTCAAGTCATCCCAGGTCTCCATAATACAGTAAGGGAGGTAAGTGAATGAACCTTTTTCCCTGCGTAGGAATCCAGACTGTCTTTCTAGTGCATTCCACATGCATTTTGATTTTAATTACAAAAGAAAAAAGTAAGAATTATGAGATATTTTCATAAAAGTAGCATCATGAAAGGAAAGAGCCATGAGGAAGAGAGGCATTGAAGGGACTAAAGTATAGATAAGACAAAAATAACATAATAAAACATAAAATAAAGAAAAATATATATAGTGAGCAAAAACATTCTCAGAAATTAAAGATTTTGCTGAAATAAAGTTCATTAGGATATCCAAGTAATAAAAAGTGTGACATGATAAAAGTATGCATTTTTTAAAACAAAGTGAAATCAAATAGATGTAAAATATAAATACAGAGAAAGGAAAGTAAGACTCCCCCCCAAAAAAAACCCACATTATCTGTTTGTTTCAGAAATAAAAATAGAAGACTAAAGGACAGGAGAGTAAATTAACATACTATCTTAAGAACATTCTTAATTTTGAAGAGCCATCAAATACTCAGTGCAAATCATGGCCAAGAGGGAGATGGAATGTACATCTTTGTTATATTTCTAATTGTAAAGCTAAAGAGGACTAAAATACCCGAGAGTGAAAAATAAGAGGATTTAGAGAAACACCCCCCCACACACACACACAAAATAAATATCAAGTTAGCAATAAATGCGAATCAGATTCATTTCTGCAGGTCAGACTTTTCATCTGTGGCTACAATTATGACCTTATGAGAAAAAACTGCTTTTGACTTGTTATTGTGACCAGTGACTGACACATTAGTTGTGTAAGGCAAGAATAAAAGCAACCTGATGCCTGAGAACTCAGGAATGAACTATGGTAGCCTGAGTGCAGTACTGAAGCCAAAGAATAGATCAGTGATGGTCAAAGAAGGTTCTATTGTGTATAGTCAGGACTAAAGGTATTGACAGGGTGGTGAGGGGTTTCACATAATTAATTATAAAGGAAAATTTCTTCCAAATGATGAAGGATGGTATAAAAATATCAGTAGTTAAGAACTGGAACTTTATGTAATACTAGCAAAGCATCAGGATTGTGAGGAGGAAGGAACTATAATTGGAATTTTTTTTCCTTTTAGGAAATAATATCCTGATAAGTTCTCGGAATTTTTAACAATTATATTTTTAAATGCTAGAAAAGGTTAAAGGAGCAAAAACTATAAAAATAAGGCATAGCGATCACTTGGCACCCTTTGAAAACACTCGTGACCAGTCCTCCCTGTCCACACATCTGCTTTTGCAGATGGACTGAGACTACACAGCAGTAGCTTTCAACCTGTGGCTCTTTCGCAGAGTTTGCCTACGACTATTAGAAAAACCCATATTTACAGTATGATTCATAATAGTAGCAAAATTATTGTCATGAGGTAGCAACAAAAATAATTTTATGATGAGGGTCACCACAGTATAAGGAACTATATTAAAGGGTCATAGCATTAGGAAGGTTGAGAACCACTGCTTTGTGGTTTCATTATTTTATTTCATGTGTGCGTGTATATCTCTGTGAGTATATGTACATGTGTGTTGTGTGCATTTGAATAGGTTAGAACTCTCTAAAAAAAACATGATGGTAAAAAATGGAAAACTTAGATTCAGACATATATTTACTATGAAATGTGTAAAAGTAGAAGGACTTGGAAGGCTAAGAGTAAAAGTTGTGAAATATGAGGGTCCAGAGAAATGGCTTAGTGGTTAAAAGCATGTGCTGTGATTGCAGGAAACCCACGTTCTTACCCTAGCACCTATGAGCAGCTCACAACCACCAGCTCCAGGAAAATCCAGTGTGTCTGGCCTCTGAGGGCCAGGCACTTCTCTACAGAGTCATACACATATATACATGATTTAAAAATTATATAAGATACTACCAGGAAGATGGTAATCAAACTTACCCCGTGAATGGCAATATCAGCATTAGTTAAGCAGATTCTTTTTTCGTTCGTTTTTGTTTTTGTTTTTGTTTTTCAAGGCAGGATTTCCCTGTGTAGCCTTGGCTGTCTTGGAACTCACTCTGTAAACCAGGCTGGCCTCAAATTCAGAGCTACACCTGCTTCTGCCTTCCAAGCACAGGGTCTAAAGGCGTGGGTCACCACCTCCCCGCTTATTAACCAAATTTCTTAGTAGAAATAACAAAAACATTGACCAAAGCAAAGAAGGTCTGATGCATCAATATGGTGCAACAGTCACTCCATATTCCAAGTCAAGATCTTATGTTAAGAAGTGAGGAGAAGAGAGAGCAGAGAAGAAATGAGAACATAGAAGAGGAAGGAGAACAGAAGAGAACAGTACAAAGAAAAGAAGAGAAGAGACATAGAAGAGGTCAAGAGAACAGAGGAGAAAAGAAGCAAAGGGAAAAGTTAGAAAGAGACAGAGCAAGGAGCAGTCAGAGTCCTGTTAGGAACTTGTGATCCTCTCTATAAGAAGGTACAGATGATTTAATGCTGTAACCTAGTAGCAAAGTACTCAGTATCTTCAAACACGGCAAGTTTAAAAAATGACCACGCATTTTAATTGGAGTCACAAAGATATGTTCTGTGATAAAGCCCTAGAAAATAACAAGAAACATATAGCCAATGTAATTTATCCACATCAAAATGTTGAAATATATTATATGAATATATTATATTATATTTCATATATATTATATGAAATATATTAAATGAAATATAAAATAACTCATACTGCAAAGATCGATACTAGGAGTTTGTGAACACAGATGGTACAAGTGCTTGTTCCTCTGTGTTGCATTAGTGAAACCCCTGGATACTCTCAGAATAATCCCCAACAAAGATTACATTGGAAATTTTATGTTTTCACTCCTTCTTACTAAACTCCCACCTCTTCCCTCCTCAACAGATAGTGCAGTGCAACAAAGATAGGCGAGATCTTAGTCCCCCATGAGGCTGAAACGGAGAGTCCACAACTCCTTTGTTACCTTCCAACCTTTCTGGGCTTCCTGAAAGATTGGTAGAAGGCTGGCAGAAGCTGTGAAAGACAGTGGTGGACCCTGTAGAACCAGAAGAAGAAGGAAAAGGAGGGGAAAGAAGCAGCTACTGCTGCTCTAAAGTGGTTGGAAACTAAGACATTTAAAAGTAGTCATATATACAGGGGACATTTTAAACACATACTTGAACACACAGACACAAAGACACATCTTCCACATTAGTCTGCAAAGATAGGGAAAATGTTTTTTTTTTTTTTTCAAATGACACATTTTCAACAAAAGACTTTTTCTTTCATCTAGAGACATGCATTGTGATTTCTATTAAATGTATGATCATTTTATTTTATTTTCCCAGTTCTTAGCATTGTAGGACTTTGCACATGCTCAGCAAGTACTCTACCACTAAGTTACATTCCAGCCCCTATGGTCATTTGTAAATACTATGCAAGTGCTTGGAAGTATTGGGAGTATTATAGGTTGTTCTGAATTATAATAGGAAAATATGCTCTGTCCAGAAAAACAGCCAACCAATCTCCAGACACTGTCCAGACAGCAAACATACAAGACAGACTTTAAAATGACCATCTTAAAATTTCTAAAAGCTGAAAGAAGACACAATGAAAGAACTAAAGAATATTAGAAAAATACTGACTGAGAAAATAAGAATATCAACAGTTTCACCAAAGAGACATTTTCCTTTATTATTGTTCTTTTTTTTTTTTTTTTTTTTTTTTTATTCTTTCTTCTCACCAAATAGACCACTTTGTACATTTTGTACATTGTGGAATTTTCAGCAAAGAAAAAGCAGAAATCTTGAAAATCTTCCTAAGTTTGAAGAACAAAAAAAATTTCATGTTGAGGTAATTTTAAAGAGATCCACACCTTTCAGGCTGTCTGCAGATTAAAAAAATTAAAAATAAAATAAAGCAGGAAGAAAAGTTCTGAAAGTGGCAGGATTAAACTGCACATCATGTGAAACTGATCTCCAGAAGGCTTAGCAGCAGTTACCTCAACACAGACCTGTCAGATAGAGAGCAGTGTGCTCGTAGAAAGTCGTTATATATAGTGTATATTTACACATATATAAAATGCAGACCATACATAGGAGTAATTACTGTATCTACTGTTATATACTATATAATTACTATATAAACAGTATATATAACAACTTATCAGCTGAGAAACAATGAAAAAATACCTAAGTTTAGATTTACTATTGATCAAGATAATGACTCACAAATAAAGGAGAACTTAGGCTATTCTCATGCAAACTAATGCTGAACAAGTCTTTCACCACTAGTGTTCCCTACAAGAATTTTGAAGGAGAAATTAAATTGAAATGAAAAGACAGCAAACAGTACCTCAAAGTCTTATGAAATAGAATTCACCAGTAAAGGAAATACAAATATCAATAGAATTATAACTTTTTTTTCAACAGAAATCAAAAGAAGAATATATAACATGTTTATTAATCTATCTGTGCGTTTCTAATATATAAAGATGTAATTTGTAACAGATATGTACATTTGTATTTATTTTATATATATAGAAACAACAGAGAGGAAAGGAATTCTAACGTGTCATTAAAAAATCAACTAAAAACACAAAAATACCAATAATGGAGGAAGTGTGACAAAAACAACTAAAAACAAAGACATCTGAGCATGGTGGCACAGATCTTTGATCTCAGCACTGAGGAGGCTGAGGCAGGCAGGGCTTTTTGTGAGTTTGAGGCCAGCCTGAGTTCCAGAACAACGAGGGAAAGCCCTTATAAGCCTCACCAAACAAATAAACAAACCAACAAAAGCAAGACCTCCTTTGTTTCTTATTTGAACATATGTGGATTAAACTCCCAGATCAAAAGATCTCAGAACAGGTTAAAAAGGAGTACCCCCCAAAGGAGTATCTGAACACATGATTTCTACAAAAAGTCTCAGTGTGGGTGTAAGGTTGTGTGTAAGTTGGAAGTGAAGGGATGGAAAAGATAGTCCATGAAAATAACCAAAAGAGAGCAGAAGTATTGTGTTAATAGAAGACAAAGTAGTTTTTAAGTCAAAACCTGTTATAAGGATAAAAGAGGGACATTGTGGAGTGAGCTATAAAAGTCAGTGTACCGGCAAGTTACAGCAGTTAAAAAGCATACCAAACACCAAGGTCCAAGACACTCTGAGGCAGACTGACAGAATGAGAGTGAAGACAGATAGCTCTAGGAAAAAATCAAATGAGGAGACGTGGTTTTTAAAGAAATAAGTACTAGTGAAATCACTATGAATCACTACATTCTCACATAATTTATATTTTTAATTTATTTTTGAGAATGTATTTGTATTTTATGTGTATTGTTTACTTGTATGTGTGTATATATATGTTGTATGTATGTGAACTATGTGCATGCAGTGTCCACTGAGGCTGGACGGGGACTTCGGATTCCCTAGAACTGTAGTTACAGATGGTTGTAAGCCAGTTCAGTGGGTACTTGGAATCAAGTGCTTTTAATCACTGAATCATCTCTCCAGCCCCGATTTTTAAATTAACTTCTTTGGAAAGACTAAAAGTGTATGAAAAGGATGGTATAACTTAGAAAACAAGCCAACAAACAAAAACAAAAAGCAAAGAAGAGGGAATTATAGGAAAATTACTATTAATAGGACAAAATTTAAATCATTAATTGAAAGGAATATAATAAAATTTTTGAAAAGAATGAGCATAAGAGACAGAAAGGTATGTGGTATGATAACACATACCTTTAGTCTCAGCACTCTGGTGGTAGAGGCCACTCTGGTATACAAAGCAAGGTCCAGCCAAAGCTACACAGGGGTGACCTATCTTTTTTTTTTTTTTTTTCAGGCAGAAAAGCTTACTAACTAATAATAATATTTTCTTCTGTATTGAACCTTTTCCATAAAAGTTTGTGCAGATATAATTAGAAGGACAAAAGAACAACAATTGCACTTAGTGCTATGAGCTACGTACTCCATGGCCTCCATGAATTCTCTCATTTAACTTAATACCTGCACAGAAGAGGCACTGGCATCTTACTGTCTCACTTTGTAGGAAGGTGAGGCAGAGTGACCTTAGTTACTTCCTCAGGTTCACAGAATGATAGTTTTAGGATTCCATGCAGTCAAATAAAATCCAGAGAAAAACAGAAATCCTCACTTGTTTCTTTGTTTGGTCTTGGAACATTAGCTGTGACTTTATACTTGTGTGTGTGTTTGTATGTACGTGTGTGTGTGTGTGTGTGTGTGTGTGTGTGTGTGTGTGTGTGTGTGCGTGCGCGCGCGGGGGTGTGGTATGAGTACTTGTTCCTCAGGCATGACACCCTGTTTATTGAGATAGGATCTGTCATTGGCCTGGATCCTGCCAAGGAGGCTAGGCTTGCTGTCCAGCCAGCCCCAGGGATCCTCCTCTCCACCTACTCAGCGCTAGGATCATATGCACTTGCCACCATGCCTGGCTTTTATGTAGGGGTGGGGATCCAACTCAGGTCCTCATGTTCGCATGGCAAGTACTTTACTGACTGACTTACACCCCTAGCTCCTAATGTTACTTCTTCATCTGTATTTCTACGACCTCTTCAAAGCATAATGCAGTCCCCTCCACATCATCTCCTCCTGAGCTTCAAGAAGAACAGGGAAATGAAGACATTTACCTGTGTCTTGTAAAGTAGTTTCTTTATGTTTATCTCCACACAGTAGAAGAACTGTCACGTGCAAGGCTCATCATTTGGTCCATCCCTGTTTGATGGACCAAGAACCTGATGAAGCATAGGTACAAAATAACATGTTCTCAAGTTTTACCAGTGGAGATTAAAGATAAGCATTCTAACATAAAACAGTGAGCTACACACACAAAGATATTTTCTTGGATCTTTTTCTGGTTTTTTAAAATAGGCCCTTTAGTCCCTTGTGCAGAAACAAAGTTTACAGGACTCAAAAATCTCTCTGAGAGAGCACCAAATTTGAATAGTTTTTATGGTGATCTCTCAAGTTCAAAATAAATTTTCTGAAAATTGTACCATTTTTCAAGTATTGTAAGTAGTAGGCTCTTGCCCGATTTGCTTCAGGAACTCCACAGGTGTTCAGGGATGAGTCTTTATTCAGAGTGTCCAGTAAAGCCTGTATAAGACCGTAGGGTAGGGCACAGTCCCATAGGGAAGTGCTGTGGTGAGTCAGCACACACATCATGTTAGTGTCACGGTCTGCAGCACAGCCCTGGGGTATTAGGCAGCTGAGGCGTTCACTCACACCCAGTAGATGGATGTCAGCTTTTAAACCTGCATTGCTAGACTTTTCAGTTAATTGATTTTAAACAAGCTTTATTTTTATTTTTAGAGGGTTTTTTTTGGGGGGGGGCACTTATTTTTAACTGTTTTTATTTTTAGACCATTTTATTATATACACTAAACTTGACATATTTAATGTATATAGGTGATAAGTTTTGATGATTGTGTACACCTGTGAAACCATTACCACAATCAAGACAATGTATTTTCCCCTCCCACAGGTTTTCGTTTATTTTGGTTTGGTTTTTTTGCAGCTTTTGTAGTTTATTCATCCTGCCCATTATAGACTTTTATCCTCAAGCAGGAGGAATCTAAATGGAAATTAACATTTAAGAATGATTCAAAACTAAATTTAGAAATGGAAGATGATATTAGTAACAGAAAGTTTAATATACCCATTCTATAAAATTCTCAGTAATTAGCCTTTTATATGACTAGATACATTTGCATTATTACTAAATAACATGACATTCCTAAACATGAAGTTTTAAAAATATTGTGATCTTCCACTTTTACATACAAAGGCTGCCTCTTAGATGTTTTAGTTGACTTGTTGTTCTTACTTTTCAGAGCATATAGAATTGGGCAGTGCAGAGATGTCAAAGTGCTTAGGCTGATATCCTTGGGGACTGTGGAGGAGATCATGTACTTACGACAGGTCTACAAGCAGGTGAGACTATGCCCCAGTCTATGTAAGAACTTAACAGTTGTCAGTTTTCAGAAATTAGGAATGGTTTTGTATAAATTTTCTTGTATGGAATTTACTAAGATTATAAAATAATTCTCTTAAATACACTTCTGTGACAGAGTTATTGTTAAGTTCATTGGATTTTACTCCTGAAAGCTTCTTTTGTTTGTTTGTTTGTTTGTTTGTTTTCAAAACAGGGTTTCTCTGTGTAGCCTTGGCTATTCTGAACTTGCTTTGTAGTCGAGGCTGGCCTTGAGCTCACAGAGATCGGCCTGCCTCTGCCTCCCTGAGTTCTGGGATCACAGGCATGGGCCACAACACCCAGCTTCCTAAAAGCTTCTTAAAGCAATATTTCTTAAACCTTACTGTGCATTTAAATCTCCTAGGGATTTTATTAATATACAGGTTCTGATTAAGTAGGTCTGAGGTACAGCCCAAAACTGCATTTTTAACTAGCTCCCAGGAATGCCAGTGCTTGGCTAGTTTATAGATCACGATTTAAATAATGAGGCACACCACCCCAGATGGTGAGCAAAGGTGTGGTATGTGTGCCATAGGTGAGTTCCAAGTGCACCGAGGCATTGATCTCACAACTCTTGGCAACGAGAATGCCTGAGCCACCTTATAGTCTTAAGGAACCGCCTTATCTTTTCACTGTGTTACATCTGCTGTGTGCTTATGCTTGAAAAGATTGAGGAGCACTGCCTTAGAGTTAGGAGATACACCGTAGGGAAGCTGGCTGCAGAGCGCTGCCTTGGAGACACGGAGCTCCATAGGGAAGCCGACCACAGAGATGTCCAGGAAATGAGATTGTGCCACTTGAGCATTAGCTGCTGCTTGGTGTTTGGAGGGTTCATCTGAAATCTCATTGGCTCTTTAATAATGTGTAGGATATTAATTTATGTTCTTCTTAGACTTATAAATAAACATATTCATTTAGGACTGCTCATTTGAGAAGCTCTGGACTGAGGTTCAAGTTTAATTACAAGTATTAAATTTGAATTGCTCCCTGTGTATTTGACTGGCATCTATTTAAGAACAAACATCTGTCACATGTGGTGACAGTTAACCAAAAAATGATCCAATCTTAAAACTCATGCTAATTTCTTCACTCTAAAAATAGAATTGTGCACAGAAGTTTGGGTATTTTCTTAAATCATTTAGCTCTAAAGGAAACAGTTTGGTTTCTGCTCTTTTATATAACACAACTACTTGACAGAATTTCTCTTCTAAGTTAACCACTTGTTAAAAAAAAAATGAGGCTATTTCTCAGGACCTGTTGTTTTCAGTGCTGTCTTAAGACTGGTCATCAGTGTTTCCTTAGTTGTGCTTTTCAACCTATTATTACATGCATTTTACTCTTACCTATAAAGGCTTGTTATGTACTGTATAATAATATATAACATAAAAATTTAAGGAAAAGGTGTAATTTAAGTGTTTAGAACTTTGTATGACACATACAAAGATAGGGTAATGATCATGTAAGGAAAAGGATAATAACACATGGTTTAAAGATAGTCTGGAATTTGAAACAAGGATACATATCAAGCACACATACATTGAGCCTCACATTATTTGGAGAAAAGAATAAAGAACAATTATAAATATGTTGGAACATAGAAAAGTTCTCAAGGGCCCAGATATTGTTTGAGGAAATCTTTAAAGACAGAAAAGAAAGAAACTCAGCCAGAGGGAGACCATCAGAAAATCACACACAACTTAAAAATTCTCACTGCATTGTCAACCACTACCACAAAAATGGACTCATGGAGACTCTTTGGAGTATCAATTTTAGTAAGGTGTCTTAGCATATACTCCTTTCACCTGTGCAGAGATCAACCAAGAGTTGTTTGTTCCCAAGTGAGAGCAACAAATAGAAATACTGAAAGTAAACAAGTAAGATAGCTCAAACTTTTTGCTGGTATACACAAGAAAGTCACTCTCATCACCCAGAAGTACATATTAAGCCATGTTAGGTTAAAAAAAAAAAAAAAAAAAAAAAAAAAAAGGGCTTGGATTTGAATGTGCTGTGCTCACTTACACTGATTCAGATACTCTGTGGTTTAAAATGACATTTTTACAGCACCTGTGCTCCTCCACATTTGGAGCACCATGTGCAATTGAGTTGAGCATTTTGAAATTTGTCTCATATGTGTGGATGTATATAAGTATACACATACATGTAATTTACTTAGAACAATTTACAGAAGAATTGGAAGATCAGCTCAAAGAACCCTAAACTTGCCCAAATTCCCTGTTTGGTAACATTTTTCATATTTGCCTCTCCTTCCTGTAGCTATTACTTCTTTTTCCGGGCCATTTGAAACTCCCAGCTTATCATTGGGTTTCCTCAAAGATCATGTTTATATTTTACACATTTACATTACATTATGAAATAGTCAGCAAATCGAGAGTACATTCCTTATGGTGATGTTAAAATGGTATATATCTTTAATGGCTCCATTGTTGATACTCTTAAAACTCTTGAAGATGGCATTTCTAGAATTTTCACAGTAATTGTCAACATAATCAAATCTATAGTTAAGTTGGCATCCACATGTCTATTGTATAGTTGCTGTAGATTATAACATAAGTGATATGATATAGTAATTCTGCCAATATTAGTTTTGAATGTAATAATTTTTAAAAAGAAAAGTGTATTCAGATGTCAGCTTTCATTATTAAACATTTATAATGTAATCTTGACTCAGTAATTGAAAAACAGATAAAATAGGAAATGTAAGATGCGTGCTCCAGTGTGATGGCCAGATTATTATTATTTCACCATAATGGCAACATCTGCAGTGAAATTAAAACAAAAATCTCCTCCCTAAGGCCAACCAACCAGCCCCAACTAAAGTTGTGTGTATGCAGGGAGTGCCAGGAAATTCGGACATACTGTTGGAGCAAACACTTCAAAAATATCTTGTATTTTTCTGTTATAGCAACTTCACTGTGTGGTGGTTGGAAGTGAAAATGCCAAGCGATACTTTGAAGCAGTCCAGGGATCAAAAGAACATCGAGGAGAGCTCTTTGGTGTTCACAACCTCTTCAAATTGAGGTCCCAAGGGTCATGTCTTACAAGAGACATCCTGGAGGTGCGAAGCTGTTCTGTGACCTCTTCAATAATGTTTTTAAGTTCAGTTTTACTACTCAGGAATTTTGAAATACAATTGGTTTTCCTTTTCAGAGAAATTTTTTGTATTCCTTATCAAAAATACATGCTTAGAATTTCTACTTTTAAAGAAATGGGAAATGAATTGTATTCCAAAGCCAAAACTTTCGCATGGATGCTTATAGATAATTTGCATGCATTATGAGTCCAATCTGTTTATGAGATAGTATGGCCTTCATGGCCACTTTCATACAAACAGAGCTGAGAGGAGTTCATTAATTTGAAAACAGCTGTTGAAATTGAGAACTAAAATATTAAGATTTTTCCTGAATAAACAAAACTGTAAAATATGTTTTGATTAGAAGTTACAAAATAGTCCCGGAGATGTACTCTCATGTCTCTGAGAGATTTTTGTTTTCTGTTCCCAATAAAAATTCCACACCAATATTTCAGACTCTCAACTGTGCTCACGCTCAATGTACAGATGTTTCTTATTCTTCAAATGAGACACTTACATGGCTTTAAAAATTCCTTAAGTTCATTAATTAACCAGAGCACTGAGAATATTGACCTGTTTCCCAACTGATATTAGTATGGAGATCATAAAGCCCTAGAATATCGTCCTTTTCCATCTCCTCCCTACACAGATGAGGAAGGAGCCAAGCAGAACTCCAGCTTCTTTCCCTTGGCTTCTGGAACTTTGTAGTAAAACTCTTAATTGTGCTTCATTTAGTAAGCATCATAAATAAAGTTCAGGAAAAATTACTGCCTGTCTTTGAGCAATTGCAGTCTTGTGGAGGTGGAGGACAGTAACACAGTGGACATGTGCTGCTGTCAGTGTGTGAGCGCCACTGTGTTTCCGGCTCTGGAGCACTCTGTGGTAACTGCTGACCCCAGTAGTGTTCTGTAGTGGATGAATAGCAAATGCATTACTGACAAAGCTGGAGCATCACAGCCTTAACACTTGGCATCATGATGCTCAGACGCTGCGTATCGGAGCATGCTGTAATTATGTAAGAACAGCCGCTGTAAGCAGGATTCTTGGGCAAATGCATGATACTTTAATGCCTCCTAACAGTGCTTTTAGTGACATCGAACACAGGCATTAGTTTTCTATTCTGTGAGACTATGAGTTTCTTACTTAGCAAGTGAGAAAGTGTCATTAAGAATGCAAAGCCACCTACACTTAGCCTGCCTTTGCTGTTGTTTTTCCGATTTCACCCTGTTTTTATTAACATATTTTCCTTGTGGACATTATAGAGAGAAGGCAAAGTAGAAGCTGGCATCATGACAGCCACAACATGGTTGAAAGGAGAACTGTCAGCACAGGCACTAGAAACAGTGAGTAAACAGAGGACACAGAATGTGACAGTCTTTTCTTTTACTTTTTTCTCTCATTTTTCAGTATGTAAAAAGGGAAACTTTCCTAAAACTTCCAGACACAAAGTCATAGGACAGTGAATAAAATTAATTATTTAAGGTGATCCGTATTCATAAAACAATTCAAGAGCAATCGACCCCAAATTAAACACCCAGTGTAAGTGACCATACCAGCCTTATTTTTCTTTAACTGAAGGACAAGTTAAATAGAGAGTGACCATCAATGTGTATCTAAGTCTAAATCTATTAAAATCATTATGTAAATAAAAGCAAGTATTGTGTTGGTTTGTGTTTGTGATCTTAGGATCTCACCCACATATCCATGAAACCTATGCTACTGCCAGAGACCATTTTAGGTCTAAGATACAAGAAATATGTAGAAAAATTTTTTGTTGCTATTCTTGCTGGGTTGTTTTTATTTATTTATTTTTTTATTTATTACGATTTATTTACTTTGTATCCCAGCTCTAGTTCCCTCCCTCCCTCTTTTCCTCCCATGTCCCTCCCCAAGTCAACTGATAGGGGAGGTCCTCCTCCCTTCCATCTGACCCTAGCCTATCAGGTCTTATCAGGGCTGGCTGCTTTGTCTTCCTCTGTGGCCTGGCTAGGCTGCTCTCCACCTCAGGGGGAAGTGATCAAAGAGCCAGCCACTGAGTTCGTATTGGAGACAGTCCCTGTTCCCATTACTAGGGAACCCACTTGGAGACTGAGCTGCCATGGGCTACATCTGTGCAGGGGTTCTAGGTTATATTCCAACCAAGGACCATACATGTTTATTTGTTTTTGAACTTAAGTTTATATGAACTGAGTGACCTTGAACTCAGGGAACTTATTTTATTTACCTATTTTGTGTGCACACCAACTCAGATTGTTAGGCTGGGTGAAAGGTGCCTCTTCCTCTGAACCACCTTGCTAGTTTTTAGATAAACGCAAATGTCAAATATTGGCAGAAATACCAGATTACTTCTCCAACATCTTAACAAATTAAGCCCAGTTTTAGAGAACTGAAGGTTATTAGAACCTGAAGGTTATAACTTGGGTTATTGTGAAAAATTGAATTGATATTGTAACAAATTTTGTTCTTGAGACAGTGTCTTATATAGTCATGACTGGCCTTGAAATCCAGGTGAAGTGAGGATGGTCTTGAACCCCTCATCCTCTTGTCTGTTTTTCAAGTCCTGTTCTTACTGCAGACATGCACCACTGCACACAATCCTGCCCTCATATTTGCTAATGTTTCTGTCTGCTTTTCATGTAGCCTAAAGACCTTGACTATCAAGAGACCATAGATGTTTGTGAGCTCTATAGTGACTGCAGTGATGACGAGTCAGTGGGCCATTCTCTGGGGAAGACTGCTAAACACAAAGTCTCCGACTCCAGTAAAACGCCAGGCTCCTCAGCACAGCTCACGTTGCTACAGTGCGGATTCTCCAAATGGATTGAGGCAAATTCTAAGTCAGTCCAGGATGGAGATGGAAACACTGCCTCCAGGGATAAAAGTTCTAATGAGCAGCCCACATGTCTTTTAAAGGAAGCCAGACAGGCTGCTTGTCAGAAGATTCAGGACTCTGTTTGTACATCAGAACATCAGAAATCAGATAACATCCAAAATCCAAATGAAAAGTGTGTTTTTGATAAAAGTAAGAAGACTTTAGAACAGAACATTTCTTCTGAATCTGATGATGAGAGAAAGTGTCACAGTACAGCTGGACATCATTGCACAGGACAGGGTGACACAGAGTCAGAAGACAGTGATATCATCTTTCCCACACAGTATCCAGCTCAGAGAGCCCCTAATAACCGTGTACGTTTTAAGCTGCTGCCAGGTGGATGTGAAGATTCTGAAACAGACAACCCTGTGAAAATAAATCGTGGTGATGGTAGACAGAACAGTGGCAAAGGAAGTGGACCAGTTTCAAAACCCTTGAGTCTTGAAAGCATAAAGTTGAAATCTATTAGGAAAAGAAAAGGTACAGATGATATTAGTGATGAATCTGATGACATTGACATGTTTCCAAAGTCAGGAATAAGAAAGCAAAGAACAACTACTTCCGTGAAATTTAAGAGGAAAAAGGAAAACAAACGGGAACTTTATAATTCTGTAAGAGCAAAGGAAGCAAAACAAATGTGTGTAACAGATGGAGATTGTAGCTCTCAGGTTATTGATGAATTTTCATCCTCAGATGACAATATATCTGTCAGCCACTTGAGTTTCTCTAAATCAAGTCACAGAGCAGAAACTGTAAAAGATAAAATCAGTCTGTTCCCTAAGCTGCCTGACCGGAATAAGAAAAACAGCACTTTTATACCAGCAAGCTTTTTAAATGAAGGAGTTGTCAGTCAAGAGCAAACGAGCAACTCAATGGATAAAATATTAGGTAACTACAGACATTCTGAAAACATCTCTCTAAATTACTGTATTTCACAGTCACATATTCTAGGAGATTATTCCGTTAGCTATAAAATAGCTATAAAATCGAAATGCTGCATTGAGGCAGAAATAATGAAGGGTAGTGAAGAAATAATAAAGTGGCAGGATAAAGGGAAGGCCACCTACAGGAGAATAGAGTTTTGCTGTCTCTCCTATAATGCTCCTCCATGTGGCCCACCCTCCTCACAGCCTTTCTGCACCATATGACCAACTATTCTGACTTGTGTAGTAATTCCTTACGTATATTTTTAAGGTTTTGTCACATGGATATATGTTCTGTGATAGTATAGTTTAGTCTTGTCTACTTAGTTCATTTTATGTAGTCTTTGTAATCTGTAAGAATCTGCCTCCATCTTTTCATTACAATATAATTAAATAGTTTCTCTCAGTCTGCAGTTTGCTCATTATTCTCGGCCGTCAGACATGATTGACGTCTGTGTTACCTGCGAATGAGTAGTATTGTCGGGACTTTTTAGTAGTCATATTATTTGTATGTATGCATGTATATTTTATGTATATACATACACTTGTAATTATATATCTTATATGTATATTACATGTTTATACATGCATATGTGCACATATACATAGTTGCATGTGATGATGAATATACCTTATGAACTATATTTATGCTTTCATATTTGTATTGGTGCTTAATTAGAAAGTTCTTTCTCATCTCCATTATATTTAAATAGTGTTTCTTTCATCTTGATGATTCTGGTCACATACAGAGATTGATTTAGTTGTAATATTTCATAACTGCTTATTTGTTTTGTCCTATATTCCACAACAGTGAAAGGATGAGTTGGCATGCTACCACAATAAAGGTGGAGGTGTGCCCCAGAAGCAGAGTCCTTGCTTAGCACTCTTACTACAATAGCATCACTACAAATTCTAGGTAGATTTTTTTAAACATACTATTTTATTTCTTGCAGTTTTTACAATGGATACACTGTGTCTGAAGTGTCAAGAGACACTGACATGTCTATATATTCCTCCCTCTTGGTTTCACTCCCTCATGGTGAATAGAAATGTCTCTTTCAGTCCTTGTATCAGTGTCCCTAAATCGTTCAGATCATCTGGTATAGCAGTTTGTTTTTAAAATTCTATTTGGGGTGTTTAGGCCTCTACCTCCTTTCCAACCTCCTAAACCTATGTAGGAGAGAAAAGGGAAAGGGGGTGCAAACCCCTTTTCTTCTCCCAGCTGTTTAGGGTCGATGGGTCTTTGGGGGCTATGCCAATCTCCGTTAACAGCAAACACAGCCAGCAGTCTCCTCCACGCTTCTGCACCCTAAAGCCTTTCTCTCCATCTGTCTGCTCTAAACCGCCATATTGTCCGACTCTCTGGTCTCTTCAAACTGCTGTGTGCCACATGCCAACACCACATGCCACACCCTCTTTCTCTGGGCTCTCAAGTTTATATCCTCAGAGTCCCAGAACATGTCCTTCCTTATGTCACGTGAGGCATGAGGTAAGCTGTTCCCATCTGGCAAAAGCCATGGCCAACAATTAACAGGTGTGAACAAACTATAGCCCAGCCAAAATCCCACACTTGGGATTAAAACAAAGACATATTTATATAACATAACTGAGTTTTTGAGAAACCAAAACTTTCATTACAATCCAGACCTTGTTTTCTAGTAAAATTTTCAAGACATGAAAAAGACATGAGGGTTTTTTTTTTCTTCTAAGGTTATTCTGATAACATGTTGTATCCTGAAAGCCAGTTTGTGTGCCTTAAAGTCTTTGATTCACACTTTGTTGAATGTTTCCAAAAGTAGCTTCATTTTCATCCCCCTTTCAATACACAAGAAAGTTCCTTCCTTTCCATTGCCATCCAGTGGTTTCACCAGATTGTTATTGCTAATTGTGACCTATTTCATGTTTTTAAAGTGTCAGACCTTATTTTGACATCAGTTGTGTTTTTTGTCTGTTCTTTGAGCCCTTCATTTCTGGCAGGGATATTATTCTGCTGCTTGTTCCTTTTTTTTTTCTCACAGTTTTCGGGATTTGACCCAGATAATTATTTCTTGATACACACACACACACACACACACACACACACACACACACACACACAGCATATATATATGCTGAATCCTACCATTCTGCTCACTCTGATTACTCATGTTGCTTCTTGTGGCTGGGCTGTGGTTGGGCAGGAGCACCTCTAAGTGGGCCAGTGTGGGAATTTATATAGTTAGCTTGCCCAATCCCCTGAGGCCTTCTTACAGAAGACCCCTGGTCCCCCAACCCTGGTGAGTAGAACACCTTCCCAGAAGCTGCTGGCCCTGTGAGGCTGTCCGTGCCTTCCAGTAAATGCCTATTGGCTCTCCAGGGGTTGCCTGTCCTTAGGTCTGTCATATGCCACACACTGTTGCTTTCTTCTTCCATAACACAGATGCTGATACTAACAGCAGTGGTTCTCAATCTTCCTAGTGCAGGGCTCTTCAATACAGTTCTTCATGTTGTGGAGACTCCTAACCATGTAATTATTTTCATTGCTACTTCATAATTGTAATTTTGCTACTGCTATGAATTGTAATGTAAATATCTATATTTTTGATGGTCTTAGGCAACCCCTGTGAAAGAGTCATTTGACACCCCACACACACATCACCAGGGATCACAACCCACAGCTGCTTTACAGTTGCTGTTGGCAGACTGCCTCCACTTGATTACAATAAAGGAATTATGGGGTGTCTCATCATGTAATTTTGTTTTCATGTGGTCCATAGGTGTCTACTTTTGTTGTCTAGTTGCTGTTTGATTTTTACCTGAGGATTCCAGAATGAGCAACCTTTGTTCAGACTCTGCTTGGTGATTAAGAGTTAGCCTGGCCTTGCAAGTGTCTCACTTACTCCCCATAAATCACGTGAAAAAAGATGAAATAAGGTGCTGTAGGCACCTTAACTTTTAAATTTTATTTACTTACACATTAGGCTGTCTTTTATAGCTGAGACTCATTTAAAATTTTCCTACAATTTATATTTTTTTGTACCAGTATTAACTCAGTACAGGATTAACAGTGAAATTGGAGGCCTAAGGAATTGTTAAAATGCTTTTAAAAATAATTATTTTAGTTTTTTAACTGCAAGTGTCAGCAGTTGGAATTAGTAGAATTTTATATAGCACGTAGATGTTTTCCTGTTACTTTTCCTGTTACATGATATTGCAGTTTTGTGTTTTGTGCTTTGTGATTGCTGGGGAGTTCAGAGTTAAGCAGCAGAGTGTTGAGGTCACAGTTGAGGTTCATTGCCAGGGCTGTTTGAGGGAAATTTTACAGGCCTCAGACTAGCCTCCTCTTTTATGACCACAATTTCAAAATGAATTATTAGAGCCTAGAAGCAAAGCAGTAAAGAAATACAGCTGCTTTTAAAACCTCTTTCAGATAAAAGCTATGAGTTCTTTTTTTTTTTTTTTTTTTTTTTTTTTCATTTCCTAAAAAGCTCTCATCTTGACATTCTTTGGGCATGTGTACAAAAAGACAAAATAAAAACAATAAAACAGCACGGCCAACCAAACACAGCTCCCTGGTCATAAACCCCATGCTCCCTTCCATCAATACCATCAAGTACTTTTTTAAAGAAGCAGATAATCCCTGGGGCTCCTCCTTAAATGTGCAAACAGCATTTTGAAATTAATGAAGAAAAATCTATAGAGGATCATTAACTGTGATTCTCACAGACAAAATTTCAGATTTAAATTTAAAAATTGTTATTTAAGCTTAGCAGGTTTCATGTTGATAAAAGTAGAAAGACATTTCCAAGTTAGCCTGGACGAACATACTTGTTTTCAGTTTAGTTTTGAAACACTGATAGTAACATAAAATTTTTTAAAGATTAAAAACAAAGCAAGCAGTTAAGGATAGTGGCTTATTCCTGTAATTTCAACAACACCCAGGAGGCTGAGATAGGAGAATTGCCATGAATTCTAGGGTATCCTGGCCTATAGACTGAGCTTTTGTCTTAGGAAAACAGAGGTGATAATTTTAAAGTAAAGCAAGCATAACCAGGTATGGTGGTGTACACCTTTAACCCCAGCACTGGGGAGTCAAGAGCAGGTAGATTTCTGTGAGTTTGAGACCAACGTGGTCTACATAGTGAGTCCCAGGTCAGCCAGGGCTACAAAGTAAGGCACTATCTCAAAAAGAAAGGGGCAGGGGAAGGAAGGAAGGCAGGCAAGCAGGCAAGTAAACATAAGTAGGAGTCTAAGGCAAAAGAATCACAGGTTTGAAGCTAGCCTGGGCTACATAGCAAGACTATCTCAAAAAATAGAGAAAATAACAAAGGTATAGTCTATTCTTACTATGCTGTTGATAATTAGAACAGTATTGCTTCATGGTGATGAATCACGTGATAAACATTGTTGCCTCCTAGATGGTGTTCAAGAAGTGATGTATATCCACTCTAATCAGAATGTGATTGGATCAAGCAGAGCAGAAAATCATATGAGCCGATGGGCAACGCGTGATGTGTTTGAGTTGAAGCAGTTTTCCCAGCTCCCTGCTAATGTAGCTGTTTGCGGTTCTAGGGTAAGAAAATTGACTTCTTAATCTCACTTCTCACTAAAGGGTCCTCTTTACACCCTCGAAAGTAGCTGTTAAATGTGTTATGAGACAACTGCGTGTTGAAAGCCATATAGCATTATAATAGTGTAATCACAGAAGATGTTTTAGATTTGTGGTAGTTTGAATGAGAATGGTCCCCATAGGCTCATATGTTTGAATGTTCGGTCCCCAGTTGGTGGAACTGTTCAGGAAGGATTAGCAGGCACTATGGGCAGGCTTTAAGGTTTCAAAAGATTCAGCTATCCCCAGAGTGCTCTCTTTGCCTCTTGTTTATGGATCAGGACATGAGTCCTTTGCTGCTACTCCAGCACATACCTGTCTACCAGGCTCCCTGTCAGATGGTCACGGACTCAAACCCTCTAAAACTCTAAGCCCCAAGTAAACATTTTTTATCAGTTGTGGTATTTTATCACAGCAATAGATAAGTAACTAGGACAAATTAAATGACAAATCTAAATTAAAATTCCTGATACTACTGAGTTGATTAATAGTTTTACTTTTTAAAAAGTGTGCTTATGTCCCCAAATTAAGGATAGCGTGAATGATTTGTACAGATTAAGGCCTCAAACTACTTCTACGAAGAAGAAAAGTGTATGACTAGGTTTCTTCAGTTTTTGTTTGTTTGTTTGGATTGTTTGTTTTTTATCTAGAAGATACAGGCAGAAAAGTCTAGCCTCATAGGCCTTTTTGAAGGATTTTCATAATGTTAAGGTAATAAATTGTTCATATTTTTCCTGTTTAGGTTGTTGTTCTACAGAAATAAAGCCCTATATAAACATAATCTTTTTGTTTACACATGGTCATTTTCATAAATGTTTTTAAAATGTATTCACCTTAATGTTTATTATTTATTTTATGGGTAGGAGCTAAAAGTACATTTTGCTTATAACAGCGATAAAATGTTGTATTGCTTTTAAGAATGAAGCAGGGGGAAATCCCTCTGAACTTTCCAAGTATCTTCATTTACATTCAGATTGTCTTAACAATAAAACCAAGATGTAAAGTAAAACACATGACCAAGGAAATGTGAATTAAACAGTTGAGAACTGGAGGAAGGCAGACTACGGTTAGATAATTTAATTATTGACATGACAGTTGTGCACTTTCCAGTGGGTAGAACAAAGGAAATAACCAGTAATGTCCCAGCTACAGTTTGGATGGTCACAGTGACTAGACACTGAACCGGTACATAGGACTGTGTTGAGCCAAGTGGAATGGAGGGAATTTGCATGCAAAACTTGTTCTACCCCAAAGGCTGTAACACCCTGCTGGGAATGGGGCAGAGGGAAGACTGTAGAAACAAGAGCATACCAGTTCTAGGAGACCCAAAGCTTCTCCTAATGTGTAATTTGATGGAAACTTGTCATCTGAGATGTGTGTGGTGTGCATGTGTGCACAGAGGTCTATGTGAAGTGCCATCTTTGGTCTCTCTCCCTCTTATTCTTTGAGACAGGGTCTCTGAGCCTGGATCCTGCTAGACAAGCTGCCACTGTTTATTTCTCCTCCCCTTTCCCCCAAGCACTGGGATTGCAGACTCATGTCACAGGGCCTGGCATGTATGTGGGATCTGCTGATCTAAATGCAAGTCTTCCTGCTCGTAACCAGGGACTTTGCTGATTCATCTCCTCACCTCCTCACCTGGGATTTCTGTTTGGTTGATTTTGTTTTTTCAGCCAAGGTTTTTCTGTAGCCCTGGCTGTCCTGGACTTGCTTTGTAGACCTCGAACTCACAGAGATCTGCCTGCCTCTGCCTCTCCGTGCCTGGCTTTAGCTAGGTTTTTTTTTTTGTTTGTTTTTGTTTTTGTTTTTTTTTAATGGGGGCAGGGAGCACAGTAAATGATCTAGGAAAGAGTCTATCATTCTCCAGTAGCCTTAGGGTAAATGTAGTAATGGATTTTTAAAGGACACACTTTTCAAGCATGCAAAACAGAACACATGAGGGAATTCTTTCATGACTCAAGGAGGCTGTTTGATACTCTGATTTGTTTGGGAATATGCCATCTCTCAGCTAACATCTCTTCCAAAGCAGTGTTTCTCAACCAGTGGGTTGCAACTATCAAGTGATCTTAGGAAAGGAGACACTGCTCAGTAACAAAATTACAGTTCTGGTGGAGCGACAACATATGGTTGGGGTCCCTACAGCATGTAGATCTGTACTAAAGGGCTGCAGTTTTAGCAAGGAGAACCACTGCTCTAAAGGTTGATAGCCATCTGAAGAGGGCAGAAATATACTGGGTTTTCCAGGAATTTATTTTGTAGATGTTGATTATTATTTTCTAAATCGATGACCTTTACTCATGGTAGCCAGGGGTGTTGCCTGTGTCTGCTGTGATTGTCTGTATGTCTTTTAGCCATGCTATTTCTCAAACAAATTTTTGTTGTCGTAATTATTTTGGTTTTTCAAGACAGGATTTCTATGTGTAGCCCTGGAGGTCCTAGACCTCCCTCTGTAGAGCAGGCTTGAAATCAGAGATTCACCTGCCCCCGCCTCCAAGTTCTGGGATTAAAGGCCTGTATAGCCACCACCAGGCAAACAAGTTTTAGTATGAATGGTCAGATAATTTGGCAACCTTTATTGTAGATTTCTTATCTTTCTACTGTGATGTGGTGGAATTATTAGAGGGCTTCTCTACCCTAGCTACTTCCCAAATAATCAAGACAGAGACCTTTGGATTTATAAAAACTTTAAGGCACCATAACTGGGCAGATATTAACTCTAAGCTATTTTGCTATTTCCAAGCTACACACCCCAAGTTACTTGCCATAATTGTTCTTGACTGGGCTGCTTCTGTCAGGCCAACCGTCTCTCTAGCTTCCTTCTCTCTAGCTTTCTCTCCTGCTTCTCCTCTCTTCCTCATGGTCTCCATCTGACTCCAAGCTCAGGAACTGAAGCTCCACCTACCTCTCTTCTGCCCAACTATAGACTGTCAGCAACTTTATTTAACCAGTCAGAGAATGTTGGCAAGCAAAGTTGACACAATATCACTTGGTGTGAAAGTGGGTGCCAACAGTAAATTTAAAGTTTTAATAAAGAAGTTGAATAGTTATTGGGGAAAGAGTAAACAAGAAGAAAGAAATGAAGGAAGAACAAAAGATTGCAGTTACAGTCTTAGGAAATACCTGAAGCCAGACACATAGGTGCACTGCTTCAATTGTAACGCTCAGGAGACAGGGGGAAGGTGGAAACTCTGTGAGTTTAAGGCTAGCCCAGTCTACACAGTAAGTAACCATGGGCAGCCAGAGCTGTGTAGAAAGACCCTGTTTCAAAAAGAAGAGGAGGGGAGGGGAGGGAAGGGAAGGGGAGAGGAGGGGAAGAAAAGAAGAGAAAACTTCTGATGAGAACTGATAGACTAAGATCAGAAAGAAGGAGAGGAGGACCTCCCCTATCAGTGGACTTGGGGAGGGGCATGCATGCAGAAAGGGGGGGAGGGTGGGACTGGGAGGGGAGGAGGGAGGGGCTTATGGGGGGATACAAAATGAATAAAGTGTAATTAATAAAAGTTAAAAAAAAAGAAAATGAAGCATTAAAAGAACATAAAATATTAAAAAAAAAAACTTCTGCCTAGAAGCAACAATAAAATTAACAGAAAAGCAAAAAAAAAAAAAAAAAGAAGAAGAAAAAGAAGAAGAAGAAGGAAAGAAAGACCTAAAAACCTTTTTCACAAAAAATCTTAAAAAAAAAAAAAAAAAAAAAAAAAAGAACCTCCCACAAGCCTAGGATCTTTTATCTAGGGCTCAAATCCAGAATCTTCTTGATTACTGAGAATTCTGAGTACATCATGTCTGTCATCAATGTCCTATTAAAAAACTGCATATTTCAAATGATTGTAAGTGTGTCTGCAGCCAGATGAAGAACAAAGCAAATATATATTTATAAGAAATTAATAGATGAACAACAGTGGTCACAATATTCCAGTGTTTTGCTGTGTGGGGAATATTGTAATTGAGGTTCACTTACAGCCTTTCACTAACTCACAAAGAAATGTTTATGCCAAATGGATTGTATGAGAAGTGGACACCACTGTGCTAGATAACTCCCCTGGTCTCTGAGTTCCTCGGTATTTTTAAGCTAATAATTGGTAGCCAAATAACAAAAACTGAATCTACTTTAAAAATCTACTCATGTCTTTAGGAATAACCTTTTCATGTTTCTTTTTCATTCTTATAATTTATAATTATTTTATTCATAGAGGCCTAAACTAAATAAATTTGTAATTATAACTGTTATTTGACAATACAAAATATATGAAATAATAACATGTTTTAAATTAAAATACAATTGTATCACTTTCCTCTATCTCTGGCCATGCTCACCCCACTCCCTTTCAAGTTGATCACCTCTTTTTATTTGTTGTTGCATATAGATTTGTATGTTTGAGGGTGTGTGTATATGCATAAATATTATACATACAACCTGCTGAATTTGTTTTTTTTCTGTTGGTGTACAGATGATTCCAGAGCTGACCACTTTGTGTTGACCAATGCAGGGGTCATATCACTGAGGAAGAATTCTTCCTCTCAGCAGTCATTGGTTGCCAGTAGTTCTTTGTCTAGGGGGCCCATGAAATTTCATTTCAGTGGAAGGAAATATTCATATTGATGCTGTCATTATTTGGGGGCTTGTTTAAGCAGCCATATTGTTGAGGTTTCATGGCTGTAGCTTCCTTGTCATGGAACTCAGTATGGAGAATCATCAAAAAGCTAAAAATAAATCTGTCATCTATATCATTCCTTGGCATGTACCCAAGGGATATGACTTCTCAGCAATATTCATTGCTGTTTTAAGATGGAAACAACCTAAATGTCCTTCAGCAGATAAATGAATAATGAAAATGTGGTACATATTCATTATGAAATACTATTAAACCATACCAAAAATGAAATTTACTCTTTGATATTTTAAAACCATCTTTGGAAAGAAGCCTACTTGGCCGTAGTGGATGATATCTTTGATGTGTTCTTGG